GATCAGCGATCAGCGATTGCACTGCATTCGATAGGAACGGGACATGAAATCGACTTTGATAGGACTAGGGTTCTACAGAAAGGTTTTGGTTGGCATAAAGAAGGACTGACTGCGGAAGTCCTACATATATGGAGGAATCCCAACAGTGTGAACAAACGTGAAGGTGTGATGTTATCTGATGCATGGCAAATCCTGATTAATAAATAATAAAAAATGGATATGTATCACTAATTAATTATACTTGGTCTAAATTCCCGATTGTTTACGTCTTCTTATGGAGAGGCTAACAAATGTTTTATGATTGTTTACCCATAAACACTTCTATACACATTATTGTATACTGCATATACACATATATTTTCATATTCAGTTATCTACGACAATGAACTTATAGTCAAACGTGATCTGATGAAAAGTACACTCTATTTAAATTGTTTAACAAAAGTCTGAGATCAAATTTCGATCACAGCTCATACAGTTTTGTTTATTATACATATTGAATACTGTTTCATGATTCATATGACTGGACAAAGTTTTTTAAAAACAAGAGATGTCTAATATATGTATATATATATAAATAAACCTTTGTTATGTTAATTCCGATTAATTTCCCAGAAGAAGTTCGGACCAGATTGCCGAACGCAGGAAACCTTGGAATTACTCATTTCAATTTCCCTGAGATTTTACAAATATAGTTTTTACGAGTTGATCACGGATTGATATCAGTTAGAGAATCATTGAAAACCAGGTAGTACTAGACAGCTGTTTCATCCTAGTTTGGGAATCATCGGCAGTGCGCACCCACCGTCAGGGTTCGAACCCAGGACCTTCTGGTTCCAAGGCGAGCTAGCTCGTATGTCATTCAGGCACTGGAACCCTATTCAGTGGCCAGTGCATTAATTCTAACTTCTACCAATTCCTGATATTTAGCGCGACCACCAACCAATGTCGTCGGTGGGATATCCATCCTCACACGTGATATCTAATTGAACCTCACGACTTCTCTCTAGAACTCCAGGAAACTCCATCCTGTAGCAAGTCACTAGCGAACATCAGATTAACTTTCTATAGTTTGGTTTGTAAGGGTTAGTTATGTTTTTACGAGTTGATCACGGATTGATATCAGTTAGAGAACCACCGAAACGAGAAGGTCCTGGGTACGAAACCTGATGGTGGGTGCATACTGCCGATGGTTCCCAAACTAGGATGAAACAGCTGTCCAGTACTCCCTGATGGGCTTTCAATGGTTCTCTAACTGATATAAATCCGAGATCAACTCGTAAAAACATAAATAACCCTTACAAACCAAACTATTGCAATATAGTTTTTACACATGTCTACTTCTCACTCAGTGCCCAATTATATTTTGGAACTGTTTGGTCAAATCTTGATCACAGTTCATATGAAACCCTCATGCAGGTTACAGAGTAGTTACTGGAATAATGGAATGAGACAGTGACCCGCAATATTATATCTGCAATAAATATCAACAGGAGGTGGGGATGTTAGACAAAATCAGTGGTGAAAAGCAGATATCAGGTCCCGTGATTACCTTATGTAAACTCTTACACGGCTGCAAGAGTTTTATTAGACAGAGTTGAGCAATGGAATGTGTTTCATCAACAATCTGTTCACGGTCTGAAATAATGATCACAGTATCTCTCAGTTGCCTGAGTTAAATGCTATATTCAGGCCATCGGATAGAGGAAGTGTCAGCTAAAAGCAACAATGCACTGACTCAATAATCTGTGAACAAATAAAAGATATGATGGGTGCACTTCGATTCCGTAGAGTTAGCTGTTTCCAAACTCTAGTTAACCTAGTGTCTACTAACAACATGATCTTCGTCTAAAGTTGGTAATGCACGTTCCGGGAGATTTGTTAAAACTACTGGTAAAACCAGAAGATCTCCATCTGCATCATTAATATATGTGTAAAACTTGGGCACTGTGGTAGTAAGTAATTCCATATTAGTTTGTTTATTAGGTATATCACACAGTGAAACAGTATTATTTACTGGATGACGTTTCGAACAAAATTTATTGTTCATAATCATATCAATTGTTATCACACGACTTTGACACTTGAGTTTTATAGTTTTCTTTGTTTTCTCCAATTTGTCCCCCTACGAGAAATTGGAGAAATCCACAGAATCGTTAAAAAGTTGCAACATATCAGATCTGAAATTGAGCAATTAAAACAAAAGATAAAAGGAATAGTTACCAGTACAGATTATGATCTTATAACACAGTCCTCCAGCATTGCAAAATCAGCAACTTTCAAAAAGTCAAAAAATAGTCAAATCAAAAAGTTCAACAAATTATTAGAAGAGAAATCTACATCTCAGAATGATGAAGTCAACAACCAAAAGTCAACGGCGATCGATAAATCAAAGTGGGTTATCAATCTCTCAACACATACATTAAGTCCTACGGAAATAAGTGTATTAGAAAAGGGACTAAATTTCAATGTATCTGTAGACAAGCTGAAACCTGAGGATGTCATCCCTTAAAATAGAAATAGCACTAAGGGGGATAGACAAAACTATGGCTGATGAAGTACGGGCACAATGTGCACTAACATTAAAACGACAAAAATGTGGAAAGCCTAACCTGACAAAAAAAGAGATAGAAGCCCTGAAAAACCCTAAGAATAACAAGGATACAGTTATCACAAAGTCAGACAAAGGAAATGCAACAGTAGTATTAGACAAGCCAGACTATTTGGACAAGGTAAATACTCACATACAAACAGGAGCATATGAGGAAATTAATAAACCAATAGATACAGTTATGAATAAAGTTAAGAAATCCACAGCGGATCTTATACGCCTAATGAAGCCGTTTCTAGGTGAGTCTAAGTGGTCTAATTTAATGCCCAAAACTAATAACCCCAGTAGGATGTATGGTGTTATTAAAGTTCATAAATCAGGATACCCTATTAAGCCTATAGTTGATTTTAGAAATTCACCTACTTATGAATTATCCAAATATTTAGCCATGGTATTAAATCCCCTAAAATTCCACTCGAAATCTAGACTAACTAATTCTTATGAACTAAAACATAGATTAGATAATTTAAAATTAGATAATGAAGAGAAAATGGTTAGTTTTGACATTGTGAGTTTATACACACGTATACCAATAAATATGGCTATGGAGGCAGTCAGAAACGAACTCATTTCTGACCAAGAACTCGAACTTAGGACAAAAGTGCCACTTGAGGACATAATGCTGGGAGTACAGCTATGTCTGACTTCCACAGTATTTAAATTCCAAGGGAAAATATATAAACAAACTGAGGGAGTCACCGTGGGATCAAAAATATCCCCAATTGTAGTAGATATATTCATGGATAAGTGGGAAAACATAGCGATTGACACGTTCACCCCCCCACGCCAAAAATATGGTGGACGTATGTAGATGACACATTCACTGTACTTAGAACACAACATATAGATAGGTTTTTCGAACACATCAACTCGAAGCTTGAAGCAATTCAATTCACTTATGAATTGGAAAATCAGGAAGGGGAGCTCCCAATGTTAAATTGCAACGTAAAGAGGAAAGAAGATGGGAAGTTGAACACTAGTGTTTACAGGAAACCCACACACTCAAACAGATATTTAGACTTCCGATCGTCCCATTCTATGTCAGTAAAAATAGGATTGGTGAAATGTTTAAATGACAGAGCACAAAAACTAAGTAGTACCAAGGAAAATCTAAAACAGGAACTGATACACATAAAAGAAGCTTTGAAACTTAATAATTACCCGGATAAATTAGTCAAGAAATATGTAAGGAAATGTAAAAATGAAATAAATAATGATAGTAGCGATAGTGATAATAACAATAATAATGATAATAGTGATAATAATAATAATATTGATGACGACACCAACAATAATGAATCTAAATCATCAGTAGTAATTCCATACAAGGAAGGAACCTCGGAAACCTTATGCAGAATTCTTAACAAGGCAGGAATAAAAGTGGCCAGCATTCAAACCCACAAACTCAATTAGAAACAAGCTTTGTCGGTTAAATAGTGGATCCTGTGGAGCCCTTAAAAGAAAACAATTTAGTTTACCTAATACCCTGCTGGAGTGATTGTTAGGTCAAATACATAGGTCAAACTAGTAGAACAGGAGCAGTCAAACTAGCCGAGCACAAGAACCTAGAGAAACCTAGATTAGTTGACCCGAATAAGATAAGAAATGTAGAGAACAGTTCAGCTATGCTACTCACTACATGCAGTTGCGCACAACCATACAATAGGATGGGATAGGATGACAGTTTTAAAATCCAATGTCACAGGGTATACGGAGAGATTGATAACAGAAGCTTTGTTTATCGAATCAACTGCAAATACATGTAATAGGAATGATTCATCACCTGTCCCCGATATCTGGAAAATTCTACTCCCCCTACGACAAATTGGAGAAAACAAAGAAAGCTATAAAACTCAAGTGTCAAAGTCGTGTGATAACAATTGATATGATTATGAACAATAAATTTTGTTCGAAACGTCATCCAGTAAATAATACTGTTCCATCTGCATCCAACTACAGGTTCCTTCTCACGTGACGTCTCTTGGCCAGATCCACGTGAATGGTTGTAATCTGTCTACATTCAACCCGTCAGCGGAATATCCAGCACTACTGTCTTTTCCATCGAATGCTGGATACTCATTAACGCAGTAAAGACTTCAAAGTTCCTCCAGAAGCTCTAAATATCGCCCTTTTCGAAAGCTGAAGGTGGCAACACCCAGTGTAACAGCAGAACACAGTCGCATTCGGTAACGAAATTCTTTATTTGGTGGAATGATGGTCACTTACGGTAAAATGCGGAAAACTGACATTGAATTCTTCAGTTTGTGCATATGTTCTCCACAATGTTCTTCTTTTGCCTTCCTTTCATGTTTTCTCTATATTGTTTCACAGAGATCTTTCATTTCTACTCTCCACCATTTAATCCGTCTCTCCACTATTCAGTATTCTCGCTGAAGCAGTTGATTACACACGCAATCTACTACTTTCGAAGTCGTATCAGTAGCACATTCAGCATATAAATGCTACCTTAACTAAGATAATCGTTCTGTGATTTTTCATCTTTTTCCATGAAGTTAGCTGATTAACTAATTATCCGAGTCATTCGGAACTACTCCGAATTTGCTGGATATAATTTTATTTTATTGGTTGGAGGGTTTCATTATCAGCCAGCCTGTAGATCAAGTCCCACTGGCTTAATGGTCTACGAGCTGACTCACCCTGTAACCAGAATATCCTGAATACGAACCCTGTCAGTGGGTTGTGGGTGCGTACTTCTGAAAAGTCCCAAACTATGTTGATGAAACAGCTGTCCAGTACTCCCTGGTTGGTTTTCCAATGGTTCTCTAACTGATGTAAGCTCATGATGAAACCCTCCAACCAATCAAACACAATCCCTACAAAACCAATACTTGAAAATTTTATTTTAGATAATTATTACCACACCCCTGAAACACTTCCGGGACTAAATCATCAGGTCATGTTGGTTTGATGTGTTTAGGATTTAATATGGCCTTCTCGACTTTGATCCATCCTTGTTTGGCTTGATATTGAACAGAGGACAACTGCAGAGCAGATGCAGGACAGTTGAATTTATTGAAGGAACTTTGGTTTCATTCTGACTATAAATGCAGCTTGATGAAGAAACTCATTGTGGACTGTTTTCAGGGTATTCGACCCCATTTCTTTTACATTCGTTTGTATTCTAAGCGGAACGAAGGCCTCCAACCTTTTAGCATTGATGTTTCATTAGAGATGCTGTTGTATTCATGGGACGGAAGTCCGGATTTACCAGGTATCCGTTAAGCAAAGTTTAGTGATGTTTTGGTAGGGAATAGAATCCGGACTACTGGCAGCGTAATCAGAAATCATTCTACCACACTACCACTAGAGAACAGTAGTAAGATGCTAGGCTGGAGTATCATCTCGTCGAACGGAATAAGATTCAAATGTAACGAAACGCTACCAGATGAATAGTCGTGCGTCAATGGCACAGCGGTTAGGACGCTCGCCGACCATGCACATGGTTCGGCGTTCGATCTCCGGCCAGTGGACGCACTCCTTTATCTCGCTAAGCCAGTAATTAAGCTGGTAAAGAGGAAATGTTGAGCATGAGGTGAGCAACCCCATCCTGCAAAAGTAATAAGAACCCTGCTACAGAAACTTCAAGCCTCTAGCTTGAATCCCCATGTTCCACTGGGAATATGAAGAAATGAAAAAAACAGATGGATAATAAATGGCTTTCGCGCATAAGTTCGGTGTTATATTAAAGTCCTAGGCGGAACACTATTGCTGGCTGAGATGAAACCACATTCAGCTGAGGCATTTTTCAAGCAGTGGGATGAAAGGCACGCCAAGAATTCTACCGCTAACACCTACCAAACTAATTAGAATTTATCAGCACTCACACTATTGAATCTCTCTTTTCATTCATTATAAATCTTTTAACGAAGAAAATCAATACACACATTTAAAAGGTAGAAATGGTTAGAATAAATTAATTTTACAAGGATAACACGTAATTAAAAATGAAGTGGTCAAAATAAATAAAAATAAAATAATTTAGACAATTATAATTTCTATAGTTTTTAAAGGTTTATGAGGAGGGGGGCGACGTAGTCCTGTTTATGCATTCCTGTAACGATGGCCACGGTAAGGAAAGTGGCTGTACAAATTTCTTCTGAACACATAGGCTTGGCTTCTTCTTCAGGTGGATTCCGATTGCTTCAGCTGTAGGTATGTAGAAGACGAACTCGTAGAGCAAAATTAAGATTAGTAGGAATGCGATAAATAATTTTAAATGCAGTATTAACATCAACCTTATGCTCAGTATCAACAAGGTGTGCTAAAATATAGAACTACGAATAGGTCTTGTTTTTCCCTTACTTAACCATGTTAGATGATGTTCGGAAATACGACGATGAACCTGCCTAATTTTGTACGCCCAATGTAGCTGGCTCCGCAGCTGCAGTCAAACTGTGTATCTACCGGTTTGACTGCTACCCATTGACATTCTGACACTGTTTAATTATTGTTAACAAACATATCAGTGCCACTTGATTGGTAAACTGTTGTGTATTGTAATAAAAATGCTATGGGTATATATTAGAGTAGAGCCAGAGATGAGGATCTAATTGAAAAGGAAATATTTCTTCGCTGCTCAATCTTTCTGTTTTCCAAATGTCTAAATGGGGATTTTTTTCTATAAATCTTTTAGTCAGGTCAACTTGAATGTGTCCAGCATCCAGATTATTCATTACTACTATTAATTCAATCAATTTCAACGAACGCCTTGTATATAAACCAATCAGCTCATCATCATCATCATCTTTATGATAACCAGCTGTGTAGAATCTGTTCAAAACTACACAAAAGCTCACAAAGGGAATTATCATTGAATCTATCAAAATGGTATGCGGATTATTGTATATTATGTAGTTTTATGGACAATATGACAGAGATAAGCAATTTTACCTATTGGTGGGCAATTGAACAGAATCCGCCTCCGCCTCCTCTAGCAAGGTGGAAGAATCATTCACTGTGTAAAATTTGTATAGAGTTGGTAAGTAGTGATTTACTGATATATAAACATTGATGTTATCCTGTACTCTTGTATAGACGCCTCTCAATATTTCACTAGTGTTTATGCGAAATGAACTGACGTCGAGTCAGTTAGGAGGATCATCAAGAGCTAAGGGGACACATGACGGCTGTCCCGTCTTAGCCAGCGATTACTCGGAATAGATATCTACCATTTACCGCACTCCCAACATCTACATTTATCATGTATTCCAGAACTGATGACGATACCACCCAGTTTCTCAGGTTAAGGTGGGCACAGCGGAACTCGAGTCTATCACTTCTTCTCTGAAGGCTGAGTGTTTAAGCTGACGTGTGTATTGTAGACTGCTCAGCTCCTGTTAACTGATGATATGGTATAGTCATGAGTAGTTTTTAAAATATTCTCAATTATATTATGGTTTCATATATTTGTTCCCCTTAATGAATTTGAGCAAAGCAATAACTACAGTTTTAGCAGAATAAAATGGTACCATATTTTATTACGTCGCCTTCTCTTCAGCTGCTTACAGGGTAAAGACATTATTAAATGTATCTACAAAAACAATTTAACATGCTTGCACAGCCAGTTCATTTTAAACAAAAATCAATCGATCAATATACAGATACACTAATAATATATGCATATATATGCAGTATTGAACACAATTCCGAGCAATAATAATCATACAAAATGAAAACTTTTCAGTATCTCGCATTAGGATGAAAAATATCCAGTTACCAGGGCAAAGAAAGACTGATAACTGCTTCTTTCTGAACGCACAAATCAGGTTTCAGGCGCTTGATGGAAATGGTTTCAGAAAACTTAAGGAGAATTGAACTCTTTTGCTTATTGATAATTTTGAACGACTTTTCGACGTCCACCTCATGACCCGTGTCGAAGAGATGCCTGGTGATGGCATTGTTTAAAGCATTTGTTCCTTTTAGACGTAAGCTTTTTGGTACATGTTCAGAAAATTGTAGGTATGCTCTTCTTTCTGTTCTTCCAATGTAACTGCTCCCGCAGATACATGTAAATTTGTATATACAGTTGGAGTTAACATGAGAAGGATATCTATCGATTTTTGATTGCATCAAAGAGCAAGTTGTTCGAAAGACGGGAACGAGCTTAGCTGCAGGATAGGCTATGGCTAGTGATGTACTCAGCCTTCTGTTGATCATTGCTGCAATGTTTTCGCCTTTATAATCAAGCTCAAAGTAGATTGGCGTTTTTCTTACTGTGATTTGTTTTTCATTTGCGACTTCAGATCTTCCATACTTGTTGACGAAATAAAATATGGTACCATTTTATTCTGCTTAAACTGTAGTTGTTGCTTTGTTCAAATATATTATGGTTGATGCTGACTATCACTGAAATCCAGTGAAATCACCCATTTAGGGCTTGTTAAATGGATAAACCTGCCTTCACAATGACATGGTCTTTCAACCGAGACTAACTGCTACGCAACGTATTTGACGGCAAACTTCTTTATGTTAACATCACTTAGAGGAGGCTTGAATAAGTGTTCTCAGTCCTCCTGAATTTTCAATATACTCGCCTCATAACTTGAAGGTCTTGGGTGGCATCCCCGGTGGGATCATTGGTGCGTTCGTTGATAGTTCAGGAGAAAGGCATCTTGCCTGAATCACTAGGCTACCTGGATTTCCATCCGAGAAAATGTATCTTATTTTCTTTAATTCCTATTGTCGTAATCATTAAATTATGCTCATGGTTTGCTAAACGTACCCATAAAGATTTTTAATTGATTCGCTACAAACTGTTGCTTATCTCTGGGGGACCAAAGAAGAATGCCATTACAGGATTATTTTATTCTTCAGATCGAACAGAATCGCGTGACATGATGTACTGGAGACGACTTTTTTACTTAAGAATCCTGGGTGAAGAGAAAAAACTATGCAATAAACAACGCTGAAATTTATACATCTTGTGTAAACTTATTGTGCAGAAAGTGTACATCGATCGTACAACTAAGTATCAACTCTCGTAGAAATTGAAGGAATACCTAACTCCTTACCGTACAAGGATTCGTAAATGAATTTGACAGTCCCCGATAAGGCGACCATGTTTCGTTACTTATTTTTGATCTCTCACTTTATTCTTATAAATTCGAAAGTGTTCTTCAGGCTTCATCGAGCCACTTTATACTAAACTGTGGTCTAAGTATGATTGCCACCAATTTCGCTACTTAACGATAATCTGTGGAATGGATGATTTTATTGAGAAAATATCATTTCCTCTCTAGACAGTGTCCTAGGCGTTAACTTCAGTGTGCAGTGAGCTTTGGCAACTCTTCATAGAGGAAATATCCTTGTTTCTTGGCAACTCTGACTTGGATTGGTTGTAACTCGAGACTTTAGGATTATGCTTAATTGTATTGGTATTTATTGTCTCATACACGTAAAATGATATCAATAGAACCCTGAGAAAATACACCTAGACAACCAATCATAGTCAACGTCATCAGAAAAGATGGTTATTTCACCAATGAAGACCTTCCAAAGCCCACCTGACACTGAATTTAGTGCTGAAGATGCTGTCTAGAAAACAATGAAAGGTTCTAATTACACAGCTGTTTCACCTTCGTTTTCTGCTGTTCAGCAATGCATACGCAAGACACCACCAGGGGTCGGACCTAGGACCTTCAGGTTACCACACGACCTGCCACGTTGAAATTCAATGACCTCAGAACTCTAACTGCATGTACTAATGTCTAGTCTTTGATGTTATAACGGAGTGATACTGGGTTGTGAGTTCATTTAACCGTCATAACCCCACATTATAACTAACTGATTGCTCGAAATTACCTCCACTCTGAGAAAGATACAAAAGAAAGTCTGTAGAAAGAGACGATGGCAACAACAAACTTTATTATTTTCAAGTATTGATTTTTGTAGAGATTTCGTTTGATTGGTTGGAGGATTTCATCATGATGAGCTGACATCAGTTAGATAACCTTTGGAAAACCACCAAGGAGTACTGGATAGCCAGCTGTTTCGTCAGCGTAGTTTGGGACTCTTCATCAGTACGCACCCACCATCAGGGTTCGAACCCAGGACCTTCTGGTTGCAAGGCTAGAGAGCTCGCTGACCATTAAGCCATCGGGACCCAATCCAATGACCAGCCCATAAATTTTAACTTCTGCCAATTCGTGACATAGAGCTACCACTTCGCAATGTCATGTCATGGGCTAGCCATTGGATCGGGCTCTAGTGGCGCAGTGGTCTACTAACTAGCCTTGTAACCAGAAGGTCCTGGGTTCGAACCCTGATGGTGGGTGCGTACTGATGAAGAGTCCCAAACTAGGCTGACGAACCAGCTGGTTGTCCAGTACTCCCTGGTCGGTTTTCCAATGGTTCTCCATATGATGTCAGCTAATCATGATAAAATCCTCTAACCAATCAACCTTTATTATGCAAAATGCATACTGTATTATATTTACCAACCCTCAGAACTTTAAGCCATTAATAAAACAAATCTGATTGGTCATCTGGTATCGAAATCTCTCTCCGAGAATTAAGCAATAAACAATCCAACCGAACTGTCCAATAAGATTATCATGTCAGCACATGCATAAATCACGACTTCACAGCTAACAAATAAGACTGTCCATCCTAACAGTTGATGAACATCTTGCTGGAAAGTAAATCTTTCCCTTGTAATTCTCTAAATCAATAAGTGTTTTCGTGGTTTGAATTTATAGCTTTGTTTTTCAATAATTTTTCAGAATAATACAGAATACTGTCAGCCGTTGTTATGCTCCAGTTTCATGGCATTTACTTCTATAGAATACTATCAACTTTGTTGTTCGAATACTATTCCTCTTGAAAAGAAACAGCTCAACTCTCCTGAACAAACTACCTCTCTGTCACACCTGAATAAATGCACAAACTCGAGATTGGCCTCATCTTTGAAGTCAATGTCAACAGCACAGTGTATTGATTGTCAATGTGTGGTAAGAAAATTTCTTAAAATGTCTAATTTTCATTGGATACTAGTCAGTAACTAGTGTAATGTGTCTAACTAGTCCCTTGTTTGGTGCAGACTGAATTCTACCAGTCAGTCAAGTTTGCATTGTGGTCATCATGCCGTTAGGTGGCTCACCGTCACCGTGCACTTTCCATTGCTGATGTTAGAGGCAATCGGCAGGAAGCCTTGCCTGACCTAGGTTTCGTGATAGTTGGCACTCACCGGTCAGCAAGGCGTATCTGCAACCTTTGAGGAAATGACGATGTCCCTTCTGAGATTAGAAACCAAGTAGCTCAGTGGTAACGTCTCTGACTGCAGCGCTCACTGGATGGTATGGGTTCGAATCTCAAAAGGGACATGAGTTCCTTCAAGGTGGTTACAGACACACCTTGCTGACTGGTGAGTCCCAACTAGCACGAAGTCTAGGTGGTGTCTAAGGCTTCCTGCCGATTGCCTCCAACCATATAATATCGGGATGCATAATTTTCTGCAAGACATTATAAAGGCTAAGTTCAGTCTGGCTTTCGTATTTTTATGATACTCATCAGGTGAAGGGTCCAGGGGTTTTCTCTGTCTATAAGTAGTACATACCACACTGAATTCTCGATTCACTATGTATGCATATATATATACCTAGTACTTTTCCCCCTAACACCTGGAATGAACTCAAACCACCAACCTTTTAGTTAATAACGGAACGTAATGACCTGTTGAGCCAATCCTGACAACACTTTTGGTCCCTTGGAGGAGAAAGCACCAACCACTCATGTGGTCTAGGTTCCGTTGCCGGTAGACGCATTTCAGAACCTCTCTTAGCCAGAATTAAGCTCGGTTAAAAGAGGGAGTTCAGCTAGCAACCCCCAACCTGTACAAAAAGGACCCCACCATTAATGAAACTGCACAGCTTAAAGTCGAAACTATATTTTTCAATTGTAACGTTAAACAATGGAAAAAACACATTAAATACTCAAAAAAAGTGCTCCATACTGACTTTTACAATCAATAAGAGATGATTCTATAGTTTCTGTTTTCAACACTAAGTGGCTTAGTTTCTAGCTGTAGGATGTTTCCAATCACCTTTTTATTATGATTGAATGGAAATACTGTCGCTTTTTGGGATAACGGTGAACAGGAAAAGAAGAGTTCTAAAATACCCTGAGGTGTAAATTGCTTTATTTACTTTCTGTTATATTTAACTCCTTTGAGTTCCCTGTGGAACATAGGACTTCTCGACAGAGCTTTGAAATTTCAGCAGCGATGTTGTTTCTTTTACAGAGGGAGGTAGCTAACTCCACGCCCAACCTTCCCTTTTTGTCAGACTTACTGAAGGCGAAGTGAGTTTAAGGTGTACATCGGCCGGGATTCAAACCCCGAACCATTTACAGTGTGGCTGACGAATGTTCTACCACTGAACCACGAAGTGTAATTCATAGGTCCTACTAATAGTCACCGCCACAAAATATGTCGTCTGAATGAGTGCAGATGTATAATGAATGGATGTCTGACTCATGAATTAACTGAAGTCGGTAGGAATATTACCTGAATTCTACACGAACAATCTGTATGTAAAACTGATTTTAATCTCCCACAGTGGCAGAAAAATTATAGCCATATTTCTAGAATAATGGGGATGGAGGAATATTTGCAATTTAGGAGAATGTATTCGGAATATTTGGAGGATTTCATCATGAGCTGATATCAGTTGGACAACCGTTGGAAAACCAGTGAGGGAGTACTGGACAGCTGTTTCATCAGCCTAGTTTGAGATTCTTCATCAGCATGCACCCACCCTGAGGGGCTCGAACCCAGGACCTTCTTGTTACAAGGCTTACGATCTTCATAGACCATTCAGCCACTGGGATCCTCCAACTAATCAAACAAACAAAATCCCTACAAACCATACCTGGCCCTATTCAGGTATGTAGTTACTTGGGGTTCTAGTTGGAAGCCGTCACCAGTAGGGTGCAGCAGGTTGAAGGTGGGGCAGTAAATCATCAAAGAAGACATTTTGAAGTCGTCGCGGAATGTCATGATTTGGCAGGAGTTAGAATTCATGGGTCACTGGACTGGGTCTCAGTGGCTTGATGCTCAACGAGCTTGCCTTGTAACGAGAAAGTACTGTGTTCGAACCCTGGTGGTGGCTGAGCATTGATGATAAGTCCAAAACTAGGACTAAACAGCTGGCTGTCCAGTATTCCTTGAGTGGTTTTCCAATGGTTCTTTAACTGATATCAGCTCATGATAAGATCCTCCAACTAATCAAACAAACAAAATCCCTACAAAACCAACACCTGAATATTTGAGATAGTTGTGTTCTCTGAGGGGGGTGTTTTAATTGCGAGGCTTTCATTCTCCGCCTAGAAAACATCCTCAGCATTAACCTCATCACAATGAAGTTAAACTTTATGAATGCTCCTTTTGTGAAATATTTTTCCTCCCTCTGGTAATGTTGACTACGTCGGTGGTTCGGTAGTATAAAACTAGCCAACCACGCCGCAAGTGGTCCGGGATTCGATCACCCAGTCAAGCACTCCTAACTTCACTTGGCCAGTAGTAATCTCAATAAAGAGGGAAGATTGGGCGTGAGGCTATCAAATCCACCTCAAGAAAAAAGTAACACCACTGCTATTGAAACTCTGAAGCCCCAAGATAAAAACCCTATGTTCCAACGGGGACGCAGAGGAACACAAAAGGAACACTCACTGTAAAGGTTTCCTTGAGAGAAAACTATTTTTCAACAATCAAGGATACTCAATGTTCACTCGTTTTTGAATTTAGTGCCGAAGAACGTTTCCTGAAGGATAATGAAGGATTCATAATCAAGCTGACCAAGGTTTCTGAAATGACCTCGTTATCGGTTTCACAAGCGATGCTGGCCTATAGTTCCACTTACACTTGAGTTTGTCAGAAACGCCACGTGGGAGGCAACTTTTAAGTGTGTAGTTTTCATGTGACACCTACGACCAGATAACTGTATCGATCACTATGAAGTGATCAATGTGTGAGCATCAGTCAGTAATCCTTCTTGATTTCAGTTATGAAAGGATAACCCAATGGTAAGGCATTTGACTTCAGACGCGAACACACAAAAATTCCGATTTTAAACAAATGTAAGTTTCTTTAATACTTTAGATACACCCTAAAGAGGAATATAAACATACATGGAACATATGGCATCAAGGAACTTAACCCTAAGCTCCTATTATTTCCGAAGACGCTCCGAATCGACAACTATATACTGAGTACAATTTCGACGTTAACTCTAAAACACAAGGACCAATAAGAAATTGTATTCTTTGACAGTTAAAATCAATATTTTGTACAAAGTCTATAAACAAATGTTTTACAAGGAATGTATTGTACTTTTATTCGTATTCCTTCGTCTTCTTCCAACTTGTACACGACTGAATCATTCGCGCCTTCGAGTTGCCCGCCAATGGCGACCAAGGCCAATGTTCAAACGTTCAATGTTCACATTCATTTACATATGGCTTTCTGTGAAACGATTGAAAATTAGTGTGAATGTGTTGTTCGATTGGTATTGCTTAACAGTGGAATACAGGAAGCGCATTTCTCCCTATTTGGCACTCGTCAGTTGGATATACTTGCATCCAAAGTGAGTGGCGGTGCTCCCACTGGGACTCAAACATGCCACCCACCCGTTGTTTCCGATATGGTAAAGCGTTATCCACTGGGCCAACGATAGTCATGATAGCCACCCCTTGTGCAACAGTTTTCTGTTGCCATGCATTTTAAATTGTATTTCCCCTTCATTTTTACAGTTATATTAGATCGAAACGCCTATTTTGTGATGAGATGCCCATCCTGGATTCCACTGCTAGCCACTATCAATCAAATGTGGCATCATATTGACCTTCGGACATTCACGAAGTGTCCTTACTAGGAGCCAATATGTCAACAAAGATCGACCAATATAACAATCGATCAGCAAATAACATATCAAATATTACTGACAAAAGGAAGAGGGGAGGGTACGTTAAAAAGGTCGACTCACCCAAAGCCAACATTAACAGAGCAGTACACTAACTAACTTCAACAGTTGGGTACCTCTAGGCAGGAAGGGAAATCTTATCCATTCTCTATACTCCAGAATCCGGGAAAATCTACTCTATAGATAGGGTTGGCATAGAACTAGAAAACCTTCGCACAACTCTATTAAGTAATGGGTATCTTAGGATGTTTATTGGCAAAAACATCACGAAGGAAATCGTCTGATGTGGAGCTGATTATATTGGATATTGCAAGCGTGTTCTCCGTAAACGCATAGCTGAACACTACCTGGTTTAGTTAATGTAAGGCAAACATAGGACGATAAAGTCTTCAATTTGCGAACACCTTCTAGGGTCAGGTCATTCAGACACACATGATTTATCTTTTAAAGTTATCTACAGGACCAAATCCAATCACTCTGAAAGCCTAAGTTTTCTTCACTTATGTATAACCGAAGCTCTAGCTATACATAGACAGAAACCTAAATTATGTGTTCAAAAACGTTTTGTTAAACCCCTTTCTTTACCTTGGTCATGGTAATGTTCTTTTATTTTATTTTTATTTTACCACTTGAATTCATTCCACGTCTTCACTTCATCTTCGCCGTCTTTACTCTTATCATCGTGGTACTCTTAATATTTTTAGACAACATTTGACCAACAATTTTCTAAAATCCCTATACCAGTTCGAATTTAATTGGTGGATGGTGACTAGCAGTGGAATCCAGGATTACGCAAATTTCGTCCTATTTGGGCCTCGTCACTGGATGTACCTGCATTTCCCAGTGAGTGATGATGTTCCCACCGAGGCTCGAACCCGGTGTCTATAGTTTAAAACGCCAAAGCGTTTTCCAGTAGACCACTTGGGCCACGAGACCCACCTCTTGTGCAACGGGTCATATTAATTTAATTAAATTTTAGATTTTCCGTCAATCGATTGGACTGAAGTGCTCACTTGGTCTCAGGTTGACATATCGGCTTCTTGTGCAGATGCTTCGACGATGTCTGGGCATCCTGGATTCCACTGCTACTAGTCACCATCAGCCAATTAACTTCTAATTAAATGCCCAGACATCGTCGAAGTATCTGCACAAGAAGCCAACAGACATGTCAACCTGAGACCGAGCGAGCACTTCGGTTCAATCAATCGACGGGAAAATCTAAAATTCAATTAAATTATACCAACTCACTTATTTGATAATCTTTAAAGGTTTTGTAATTCATCCACTTCAAATCTACCTCTTTAGTACGCCATTTTGATTATCTTTATTCTTATCATAATATGTGCAATATTGACTGAGCAGTCTCTCTAGTGCCACTTAATGCCTTCTTCCTTAATTTTTCACTAATTTTAGAATGATCGCATCTACTGTACATTGAATGCTACTCAAATATATCAACGCAACAATGTAACTGTTCAATGTGATCAATTATTATCAACGCTACAGCGGGATTCATTACTAATTCCTATGAAGTATAATCGGATAGATAAATCAGGCGATGGGCAATAATAATCGACTTTATTGTTTTTCTAATCTGCCTGTCTGTCTGTCTATCTATCCGTCTGACTGCCTGTCTGTCTGTCTTTCTATCTATCGAAAGAAACTGTATAATATTTTCGTGTATAGACAGATATATGTACATGTAAAATAGGGGATAAAGCGCCCAATCACTGTTATATCGCTTTATTTCGTTTTCTTGAAATTTTCTCCTGACAACTTGTGATGAAACGATGAATGAGTTTCATGTTACCTGTAAATACATATTTTTTGAGGTAATCTTACTTTCATCTGTTGCATGATATATGTGGTAGGGTTGCCAACCACCTGCGTTGACAAGAATCTATCTGCACATCCAATTTGAAGACCCTGATGTTGGGTTGGAAGACTTCGGTCTTCTTCACTGCCTCCATGCGGTGGTAAGGGGTGTTGGTCACAAAAGTGAGAGGTCGAAGTCAAACGTCTGGAGCTTACAAACGGAATTAGGGACACGCAAGCTTACCCAAAGGAGCTGGGAAATCAATCGAAGAGGTTGTGAAGTTACGGGGAGGGAGAGGGTTAAGACACGTGTTATGCATGCATGCTTAGCCGTCGCCTTCCTCGACGATGGGGAATGTTAGCTAACTGATACAAGATAGATCAGGTTGGAAAAGAGCTAGCACATCAGAGGTCAAATCAAAACACTACTTCATCAGTCAATGAAATCCACAACAGTTACTTTGAGCCAGCCAGTCACATCGGGAGATGTACACTTCCTACTTATCTGGTTGGGTTCCTCAGGATGATAAGAACTAATGAAGGCTGGAGACAATTGGTGATATAGCTAAAAATCGTTCTTAGTGGCTGGCGCAGATGCATTCACTACTCTTTGTGATATATTATATCCAATAAAACTTTATTGTTCTTCCATATTACTATTTTTTTGCCTCACTCACACTTCTGTTTATTATCTCCCTTTTGAATCTCTCTTCTCTCGCTTTTTGTGATACGTAGAGTGACAGCGGGAACTGGAACTGCTTCACATCTATGCAAAAGTCTATGTTGAAACCAGTCAGTTAATCATTCTAAACCTACAGTGTACATGAACTGCAATATCCTAACGGATCGAATAACGTATGAGCCTGTTTCGGTCACCAGAAACCACGGAAACACGGCTCCCGATGCTGGTCTACTGCCTTGTGGATTAGACCTCCAGACAACCACCAGCTTCAGTCTAGGCGTCCGAGCAGTATCCCAGCCATCACACAAATTATGACAGACTATGTGTGGCATATCTCTTGGTGGCTTTAATGTGCCGAGACGCTGAAGACCAGAGAGTACTAGACAGCTGCTTCTTCCTAGTTCGAAACTATACGTACTGTTGAGGAATGCAAATACTAGGACGAAACAGCTGTTGAGTACTCCATGATTTTCTCTAGTGGTTGTCGAACTGATGCGAATCCGTGATCAAGCTTGAAACCAATTAAATCCCTACAAATAAACATTTGGAGATTACATTTATACCATAATGTATGATGAAGGTAGAAATAAAATTAATAAAGGCCATCTGAATTGGTGATTTCATCAACACAGATCTCTATTCACTTCAGTATCGAACGTCACTCAAGCTTATATCCGTTTGTTAGTAAAATTATATATCAGATAGCCTTAGATTGTCATACAAACTCAGTTACCAGGTTATGGGTCATATCTGTTGTTAGAGGACTGATGTTCAAGCTGAAGTAACCTTAGGCGGACTCAGACTTTGGATTCACTAGCTGATAATGGAGCATTTAATTGAATGAACCTTAGGATTGCAAAGCATTAAGTGATGAATAGCCTTCAGAAATGATGATCATTAAAAACTCTAAGCTCATGGAAATAGGAAGAATATTGTTCATAAGATTAAGAGATACAGAATATTTATAAATTACGTTTTAAAGTACACATTCATCAACCTGAAACCAATCTGGAAATCTTCGTCACTCAACATCAACAACAAAATTCGGATTTTCAATGCAAACGTCAAGTCAATTTTGCTATACGGATCAGAAACTTGGCAGGTCACAAAGAATAATTCCAACAGCCTGTTGCAGACCTTTATCAACAGCTGTCTTTGTTCTATACTGAAGATCAGATGGCCGGAAAGAATCACCAGCAAGAAACTATGGGAACTAACAAAACAAAACAAGAACCAATCGCCCAACAAATATGCAGGAGAAAGTGGAGATGGATTGGACACTCACTTAGAAGGCCGTTGGGTGACATCGCGCGTCAAGCCATCGCTCGAGTGGAACCCGAAAGGGAAGCGGCGAGTTGGTCGTAAGTGCAAGGGTGACATGGAGGAGATTGTGTGAAGAGGAGTTGAAACAGTATGGACTAACATGGATGCAGGTGAAAAGTACAGTAGAAGACAGAAGCAAGTGGAGACGTGTAGTTGAAACCCTATGTTCCACTATGAACCCAAAGGAACAATAATACGTTTTAAAGTTGGGAGTTTGAAAGGGAGAATGAAGAAAAAGAAGGCACGAATATGAAAAGGCGTTTAAGGCCATAGTAGTAAAGGTGATTGAATAAACCGCTTATATATGTACACAGTTTAAGGTCCTGCTTTGTGCACATCAAGAACTCTCACTGTTAACAGAAGATGGCGTCGGGATCCCACCCCCCAACTTCGAATGACTTTGCCTACTTTCACGTATCACTTTGAAAGATTTTGATGTAGAATGATGTGTAAGAACAAGGTGTTCAAGAAGTGAAAGGGACTGGTCTAGCTAAATTCCCCTTTCAAAAACCATACTGAAAGATGTTTCTGTGCGCGTCTGACAAATATCCTACTGTTTTCAGTGATGCAATAATCTGTTATGTAATCAGTAGTGAATGACTATCAGGTAAAGTTACCTGAAGTTTTAGTGAGAAGTCATGACCATTATGCTTCGCCAAGTCAATAATGAGGAGAAATACTCACCGATGACATTAGCTAACAGTCGAGCTATATATATAGCGAAGAATATCCTTTTCGATAATTTCCTCCTCTTCTGTCCCTACAACTATATATATGTTTATATACATAGAATATTCTAGATTAGTAGTCAATAACAATATTAGTGTTTTTTTTAAATAATATCGATTTGTAAATTAAGATCAATGGAATTACCACAGTTCATTAAAGATGCTTAAATTATAAGAATAATAATAAAAATATAGTAGCAAGTAGAATATCGACCAAAATTGTGAGAATTCCACAAAAATTCAGGATCATTCAGACCTAGACGGCCAATGCAAGGATAATATCTGAACTAACTTCTTTTGGATGCACAAATTAGGCTTCTTATTATGGATCCCAACAGCCTCAGCAATATTTAGTAATCGAACTCTTAAGGCGAAATTTAGGTTTATTGGTATGCGTTAAATGACTCTGAAAGTATGTTTAACATCACTCCTGTGTTCTGTATCCACAAGATGAGATAGAATAGCGCCATGCACGGTGATGTTCGGGAATCCGATGATAAAAACGCCTAATTGTATGGCCTATGCAACTAACTGGCTACACAAGAGCAGTAAAATTGGTAGATAGACATGGAAGAGGCGAAATTAGGCCGTTTGTCTTTTACTCCCGATCGCAAAACAGGAATGGTTTTGAAGATACAGCATAATTCAGCATCAGGGAATGTTATTTTTACTGCATTTCTATGACTCTGTGTGAGTATCTCTCTGATGTAGTTCCCAAGGAACTGGATTTGTAAGAATAAGGCCTTTTTTGGAACTGTTGGTACCTTGGGTTGCTTTAATTTTAGATTCATATTCCTATCAATCAACTTTTCTGGATAGCTGTTTTTACTCAGCAACTGTTTAATATGAGTAAGTTCCTCATCAAGACATTCATCCGTGCAGACTGCTCTTGCTCCATGGCTAACCAAGAACTTTATCAGATTGCGTTTGTATTAGAATTCATGAGTGGTCGAATTCCATCCCAATGGGTGTAAATTTCTGAAGCGCCTAAAAGTAGGACGGAACAACTGTCTCGTATTGCCTGGTTTCCAGTGATTTTCTAGCAGATATGTATCGGGGATTCAACCTGGAACCAAAGTGTGAATTTGAATTTTCTCTTCTTTAATCAGACTGAGAATTTCATTGGAGAGGTTTCTTGACATTGATAGGTTGACCTTTCTCTAGACTTGTATTACTAAAGCTTTAACGCTTCCAGTAGAGAAACTGGAACTGTGTATAAGAGAAACACAATTATTCAACCACTTCTACTATGATAGTAATCACCTTGTTGTTGTCTACCGACTTGATCTTTTGGTTGTTTATTTTAAATCCCTCTAACTCTCCTATTTTTCTTTTGAACTCTTACGTAATATATCACTATCCCTCGCTTCTATGTGTATCCTGATCACACGTCATTCATTAAATTATTTGTCTCATTTCGTGACTCTAAAATCCGTATTCAACTGTTATGTGGTGATTAACATTAGCAACAATGATTACGAGAATTTACCTTCTTTATAACTATCCACCCTTGTGGAAAAGTGGGTGTTGTATATAGATCCCAGTAAGGCAAGGCTGCCTGCCTATTATCACTGATGCTATTCTTAATTGTGGTGGACCGGGGAGAGACAGAAAACAGAAATACGCTGCACTGAGCTGGTAAGAAGACTCTAGAAGATCTTGATTTTGCGTGTAGATGATTTATGTTTAGTGTCGTACAAACTAGAAGACTTGCAGGCAGGCGAAAACCAATAAACTGTCTGAAGAAGCAAGCAGGCGGCGAAGGCAGGAATTCGGGTGAAAAAAGACAGAGGTGATGACGAATTACTAACCAACTGCAACGAAAACAACGAACAGTATCAATCACTATCAGTAAGAGGGATTTGACAGAGGTTACTTCCTGCTTTCACCTATCTGGCTGGGAGACACGATCTCATCCACAAGTAGTTGGACAGCACGGATGAAGATTTTAAAGCCAAATAAAAAATAAGAAATGCAGAATACGCCTTCATCAACCCGAAACCACTATGCAAAATCTTCTG